CTCTGCTAACACATCTCAATATTCCATCTTCATCCCTTTCAAGGTTTACACCTGATTTTGGAGCTGGAACTGCTTGTGCCTGGGTAATCCAGAACCTCTCTGCTGCTTGCAATTCTTCTGTCTTCAGTGGTCCTGTCTGTTTCTTTGTTTTTTTGCAGTTGTTAACAAATTGCTTGACATAAGCAGTCACTCTTAGCAGTTTCCAGTATGATGAATACCTGTGTAGAACCTTATCCACTATCAGATCCTTCTTTTCTTCTTTGGCGAGCATTTGCAGGGTTCGTAGGGGTCCTGGAAAAACCTGGAAAGTCATGGATATTTAAAATTTCACAATCCAGGCCTGGAAAACCTAGAAAATATGTGTTGGTCCTTAAAAATCCTGGCAAATTAGACTTTTCCTAGGACAGTGAATAAGTTTCTTTTCATTTTCTTCGCTCACATTTTCAAGTTTTTTGTGGGCGACAAATGAACGTGTACAATCTTGCAAAATCATACCTGTCGTTAATCGCAAAACCTAACAGTTCAGTGTCTGGGCTCTAGCTACCCCTATGGTTTTACGGGCTCTCTGTGTTCAAAAATTTTGTTGTTCTTATCTGGATGAGAATGGCGCGTTGTTTCGTTCTGTTTTAAATCAAGTCAAAGCGTACTCAAAAGTATTGTTTCCGGCCCTTGTGATTAAGCTGAATGAATAATGCCTGGGAAGTGTACTTTCAAAGAAAACTGGACTTCTCATGTGATATACAAAGACTGGATATTACAAGACTCAAGCTCTCAACACGAAGCATGTTGTTGCTTGTGCCAAAAATCATTGGACTGCTCAAACATGGGGGAATCTGCCCTCAGAAGCAATGCTGTCAACTCTCCCGGATAATCCGGGAGACACCAGATTTTGGACCGTATCTCCCAGTCTCCAGGTTAGACTATGAAATCCTCCCGAAAATCGCCGAATTTTGCCATTTCTTGTAGAGTCGACTTTCCAACAATAAAATTTCCAATATTTTGCGTTGTTTGAGTTATTTTTGTACTGTTAACATCGAGAGTTTCCTTATAATCTCCGGTATGCCATTATGCTATAAGTAAGCATGTGGTTGGTGGGAAGTAAACCGATCAAGTCAAATGTTGTGCAATAACAAATTTTTGCGCGTTTTGTGTCATTGCAAATTCGGGGCGATCGGTGTCAACAGTATCTTTGGCACAAATTACTTGGTGTGCCATTCGTTATGACGTCATCTATCATCCCTTTGCTATCAATTCTCAATATTTGAAGACGTGGGGGAGGGGGTTGACAGCCCTGTAGAAAGCACAGGAGAGGGAGTAAGCACAAAGAATTAGCAGCATTAATAGCTGAGTGGTCAGTGCCAATTACCCAGTTTATGTTTTCAAAGGTAGCATCTTCGTCTAGCTCTGACAAACCTGGTCCTTTGGAGTCTTGTGGCTTACATTCCAGCCCTTCAGTACGTGATGCAAGTGCTAAAATACCAAGCTCATCTGCTTCTCTTAAAGAAACGGTCGAAAAACAGTCAAAAACTGGTCAGTAAGTAGCACAGTCAAAATGTCATCGGAGTTCCTCAAAACGAAAACTTGAAGAAGCTTCTAGAATCGACAGCGAAATAGACCAGAAGCTGCAGACTCTTGCAGAAACGTAGCAAAAATGCTACATAGTTTGTTGGTTTGTTTGGATTGTTTCAGTTTTCCTGGCTATTACTGGTTCTGGATTTTTGTAAATATGGTCCTTGAAAGTCGTGGAAAAGTGCTGGAATTCTGATGGACCAGTGGTGTACGAACCCTGCATTTGGTTCTCCACTTTAGGTTTTACAGTCTCTACTACTATCTCGGAGGTCTCACACACTTCAGGTTGCGATGGCCACTTGTCTGGACTGCCTAGCCAGTTCGGTCCCTCAAACCATAGCCTTCCCAACTTTCTGGGCTCAGCACCTCTGCTTCCTTGTTCGCTCGGGTTTTCACAGGTGAACACATAATGCCATTTCAGGTATCCTTTGTCTTGAATAGCTTGAGTTCTATTATGCACAAACCGAGTCCAAGTTGCTTGTCCTTTAATCCAGTAAAGAACAGTGGTGCTGTCGACCCAGCACTCAACCCAACGACTCTTCAACCGGCCGACCTTGAAATACTTCCTTCACATGATTCATCAGCTCGCTAAATGTATGTGCAGCGATAACTTCCAAGTGTGTGATTGAGAGTTCTCTTGGAGCTATCCTCGACTTTGCACAAGGAGATTCTGACAAACTGGGGCGGCTGCAGGAAATACAAGAGCATAGATAGCTGCTGAAACTGCTAGCTTGCTGGCATCAGAAAAGCCATGAAGTACTATTTTCATCACATCTTTGTTCACAACGCTTTGGGGAACTCACAGCGCTGGGCACTCCTCTAATCCTCTCAGCCACTTCTTCCAGGATCTCCAAATGTCATCAGGTACCTGTTCATCCCACTTCAGTTTGCGTAAACTGTCAGTGGGCCTTCAGCAACTGCCTGTAATGGTTTCCTGAAGCCAACGGAAAGTTTATCTTCTGTTTTGTTCCATGAACTCTCAGTATTTTTGTTTCCTTAGGACCAGTTCCTACCTCTAGCTTGGTATAAGTCGTACTTGCTTGAGAGGACACCGCATTGTGTTCAGTTCTCTGACATTCTCCCAACTCTGATAGGTTACTGTGCCATTTGTGGAGATGAAAACCACCTTCCTCCATAATCTTTGTGGCCTCTTTAAACTTATTCAGCTGATCGCTGTGATCTCTGCCTGACTGGACATCATCCACATAAGTGTTGTTCAGCAACGTATCAGCCGTATCAGGAAACTTTTCAGTATACTGGCACACATGTTTCTTGAGTGTCACCCTGAGAATGTAAGGACTAGGTCTTGACCCGAAAATCACTCTAGTGTATCAGTACTCTGTAACTGTCTTTGAGTCAAGGTTCTCCTACCACTGGAGCCGAAGGACATCTCTGTCCTTCGGATCCACTTTTATCTGAAGAAAGGCTCTTTGGATGTCCCCGGTAATACACAGCATCCTCAGGCGATTTCATAGAAGAATGTCAAAGATCATAGGCTGCAAAGGGGGTCCAACTTCCAGACAGTCATTCAAAGAAGGTATTTGAGAATTGGCCTTAGCTGAGCAATCATACACTATCCTCCTCTTTGTAGACTCTGCCTGGTCTCTGATTACTGGATTTTGGGGAATGTAATGTATTGCTTCTCCAGTGGGTATTTCTGGTGCCACCTCTATGATTCCTTCTTCTAACTGCTGCTCCACAACAGTGTGATACTCCTCAAGTCTCTGCATCCTCTCCAGCTTTCATGTGACACTTCTCAATCTCCCAACTGTCAGTTCTTTGTTTGAAGGTAAAGAGGCATGATCCGGTTTCCAAGGCAGTTTCGTGCAGTAGATCTATGAAATCTTCATCTAAGGAATCACGGACATTCTCCAAATTTTTCAGGCCAAGAACTTTCTGAGAACACATCTGCGCGAATTCGTTCTGACTGGAGTTCATGAAGAATATCTTTTCTGCCTCAGCACTCAAGGGGGTAGACTTTCCAGCAATGACCCATCCCAACATGGTGAACTCTGCTCTGGGATCAGTGTCCCGGGTAAGACCTAGAACTGGGGGCTCAGTTGACTTGATTCGTTGAATATCAGCTGCTCCAAGGATTATGTGTACCTGTAACTTCTTAGCAGTTGCTTGCTCCTCACTAAATACAAGCCTCCTTATGCGATCATTCTGTTCCTTCAGTTCAGAGATTTTAGAGTTAGGCAGGTAGGTTAAAACAAGCTTCTCAGCACTGACACATTGCAACTCTATTCCAAAACTATCAATGACATTTGATTCAACATGGACTTTGTATATTTCAACTCGTTTGTCCACTGTCCAGTACATTTGCTCAATCACTCTGGTTTGCACTGATGTATGAGCTACCTGTTCCACTATCAAGCATGATCCGTGTCTGCGCACCATTTACTTTGGCCAGCACTGAAGAGTGCAGGGTCTTTTGATGATCGTTTGCCCCATAGAACCTGTCTGAGGGAGGCTTTGACTTGGATGGAAGTGTTGTAAAGGTTCTTTCGTAAATAGATGTGTGGTGTCTGGCATTACACCTTCCACATCCATGGGATTTGCACTGGGAAAGAACATGTCCAAATTTTGCACAATTAAAACAAAGTGTGTTCTTCTTTAGAAACTCCCTTCTGCTGGCAACATCCAGTATCTTGGTACATTCTGAACTTCTGTGTTGGTGAGAGTTACAGTATGCACAGGGCGCGCAAGGTGGAGGGAGCCAAGGCAGTCCTTGATTTGGACCAGACATAACAATTTTTTCACCTCTTCTCCACTGATTTCCCTTATTCGATCCCACAGGTTTCTTGGCATCTTGGTTCTGTGATGACGTTTCAGGTAAAGGATTTCTGTCAGTGTACTTGCGTATGCTTTCTACGAGCTCCTCCAATCCCCACTCTTCCCGTTCATCATCCTTTTGTACTAAAGCTTCCCTCACTGGTCCGAACTTGTCCCTAATGCTCTAAACATAGCTTTGTGCACTTTGCAATTTCTTCATTGTCTAAGGCTGTCACAGTTCTAGACAGCTGTTTGTAAAACTCATGGATCTCTTTTACTTTATTGAGGCTTGTAACGTTTGGAAGCGTTTCCAAATCCTCGATTAATGCCTTGAGAACCTTAACGTCTTTACCATAAGTAAGTTCTAGGATCTTTTTTGCTTCTTCATAGCCTTCAACAGTGTGCGGTAAGCCAAGAATGTGACTCTTCGGTTCCCCTTCCACCAGCTCAAGCAATTAATTAAATTTGCTTATCTCAGAAATTTTAAAGTTGTCAACTTCTACCACGAACTGATTCCAGAATCTGAGCCAGTCTTTGTAATCCCCTTTAAATGGTGTAATAGAATACTTCTGCAATTTAACTGCCTGTGGTTTACTTATTTCCTGTAGAGCCGTTTTCGCATCTAAGGCAAGTTCTAGCTCAAACTTTTTGTTGAACTAATCTTCGTCTTTCTTATGTAATTCCTGTTTCTCTAAATCGCTTAACGCCTCCTTCAGTTTATCTTGTAGGTTTCGCACAGGAATAAAATCTTGTTTATGGGTGTCTGACCACTTTCTTACATCATCAAAACTAGTATCAGCATCCAACATGGAATCTTTTAACACCGTTCGCAGAATCCTCGAGTGCTTTGTTTATGTCACATATTCTCTTGTAAGCCAAGGATAAATCCTCTGTCACTCCATAGTTAAGTTTTTCCTCAATTTCTGCTAGGTAGTAGGTTGCCTTATTCAATTCCTTCTTGTTATTTCCTTCTGCAAGATCCACCATGTTAATGAAGTAATCTCATAGTCAATGTCAGTGTTCCTCATACAAGATAGTTTCACGCAAGTCTTCAAGTCCTGGCAGGGTCGCCACTTTTAATGTACAAAACATGAGTACACACCAAATAGTTCCAAAAATCTTACTAAGTTTAATGTCCACAATCCTTAGTCCTCAAGGTAATAACGAAACTGAACAACAAAGTTTTCTCTACCAACTTGATCAGTTTTCTCTTTTCCGAACAACAAAGTGTGTAAAGCTACTACTCAAAACGAGGCTTGATAAATATGACTTCATGTAAGAGTCACGAATGTTCAAACGTTCTCTTTTTAAGTAGTATTTTGCTATGAGAGATTCTGTAACACTTCTGGAATGCCCTTTGGCATGCAACTCCTAGCATCGGGCTGGTTTATGATACGTCACATTTACCCATGGGCATAACTTCCACTTTGGTAAGCTCTGAACGGACAGTTCTGTTCGTTGTAGGTTTTCTGATGAAGCATGTTCCTTTAATCTTGTATAAACGCTTTCATATTACATACTGGACCCCTTGTTAATGAGCATCCACTCTCATACCATTTAAATAATAACTGATTTGTCTATTACTTTAACACTTGATTAACATCTACGTTATGCATAATTCTTCATATCACAATCTCACTAAATGGTTTCTATTATAGCGAATAATCCAAGGATGGTCCACGGTTCCAACTCGTCTTTATTACATCTATAACGAATTACGATTACGGTTGCTAAAGGCGAAACAAAAAATACAAATTACTAAGGAATACAAATTACAGCTATGAAATGACGAAAATACAGGAAACGGAAAGAAACTAAGCAAAAATACTTACAAACGTTGTGTGACTAGAAAGTTGAACGGAAAAAAGGTACGATGGCGAACAAGACTGGACGAAAAAACTGCAATGATGTTGCCGTGAACGCTAAAGCGAAATGAATTAAAATAAACGATGAAACTTACAAAATGATCTAAGAACAAAGAAAGTTATGCAGAGAGGTCTAACAGAATATGAATAGCGATAACTGAAAAGAATGTGAAAGGAATGTGCAACTATACAAAGAACTAAACGCTAAACATATTGACGTGGAATGCGGCCGTAACATCTGGCTCCCCTAAGAGTTAGGAAAAACTCTTATGTCCTTAATTCTTAATTAAGCATTAAAGTTCATTGAATATCTCTAAATCTCCATGGCTCCTCTGGCTGGGATATACCCCTGGTCCTCAGTTTTCTTTATTCTCAAGTATTAGCACGAGCTTCTGAATTGGCCTCTCCAACGTTGTCGTTGCCGTTGCAACCTTCACCGATCAGACCTGTCCCTTTGAATCTGGGCGTGAGTCGACAACTCGAGCCATATTCCATTGATTTCTTGGCGCTCTATCATCGGCGATCAATACAAGGTCCCCTCTTTGAAAGTTTCTCTTCGGGTTGTTCCATTT